GAGAGGAAAGAGAAAGGACACTAAGGCAATCAGAGACAGGAGAATCAGAAGAGTGCAGTGTCTAAGCAGCAAGAGAAAAATATCAGCAGGGAAGGGTTATTGTGACTGCAGAAATGTCAAAGAAAAAGTACACTGGTTAGTCAATCTTCTAAATAGAACCGCATAAGCATGAGTGTGAAAAGCACATAACTGATTTTCTTCATTGTATGTAAAGCTATATTGTATCCCTAGTGTCTAGAACAGCAACCTAACACCTGGCATTCAAAAATGAAATACTGTTTGAATGATGACTGAATTCTAGTGAGTACAACTCCAACCTAGTAGAAATCAAATTCAACCTATCCAATGTTGAAACCCTCCTCCCCTCTATATATGGCAAAATGCTGTGTGACTCAGGTCAGTTATACATTAATTGAATACTATGTTCCAGGCAGTGTGCCACCAGCAAAAAAGATGACAAATGAAACAAGAAAACTACAAATATATGAGGCAAGCATAGGCAGATTTCCTCCCACTTTTCAAAAGCTACAGAAGTCTCATCATGTCCTCATTCAGTGGATGAGACTTTCACTGAGAAAGTCAAGACTGTTGAGCATGAATACCATCCTCACATCCAGTGTCCTTCTATCTCAAAGAAAGAGATGCCCCTTTTACTCAAGAATAACCCTTATGAATGGAAAAACATATTCCCCTCAAATGGAAGAAAAAAAAGCCAGGTAGCAATACTTATATCAGACGAAACAAACGTTAAAACAAAGACTGTATCAAGAGTCAAATAAGGGCATTACATAGTGATACAGGATCAATCCAACAACAGGATATAACAATTACAATTACCTATGTACCAAACACAGGAGCACCTAAATACATAAAGCAAATCTTAATAGACATAAAGGAAGAAATTGAAAAAAAAAAGCAAGAAATTGATAGTAATACAATAACACTAGGAGGCTTTACCCCACTTATATCAACGGATAGATCATCCAGACAGAAAACCAACAAGGAAATGATGTTTTTGAATGACATATTAGATCAGATGGACCCAACAGATATATACAGGACATTCCATCCAAAGCACCAGAATTACACATTCTTTTTGAGAGCACATAGAGCATTCTCCAGGACGGGTCACATATTAGGCCACAAAACAAGTCTCAATAAAAAAATTTTTTAATTAAAAAAATTAAAAAAAATTTTTTTTAATGTTTTATTTTTTATTTTTGAGAGAGAGTGCAAGCAGGGGAGGGGCAGAGAGAGAGGGAGACACAGAATCTGAAGCAGGCTCCAGGCTCTGAGCTGTCAGCATGGAGCCTGATGTGGGGCTTGAACTCACGAACTGTGAGACCATGACCTGAGCCGAAGTTGGAAGCTTAACTGACTGAGTCACCCAGGCGCCGTAGTCTCAACAAATTTAAGAAAACTGAAATCACAACAAGCAACTTTCCCGACCACAATAGTGCTGAAACTAGAAATCAATTAGAAGGGGAAAAAAAAAAAAAAAAAAACCCTGAAAGAAACACAAACACACAGAGGCTAAACAACATGTTACTAAATGACCAATTGGTCAACTAAGAAATCAGGAAATCAAGAAACAGAAAATGAAAACACAGCTGTCTGTCCGAAGTCTTTGGGATTCAGCAAAAGCAGTTGTAAGAGGGAAGTTTATAGCAATACAGGCCTACATCAAGAAACAAGAAAAATAATCAAACGATCTAAAGAAACTAGAAAAAGAAGAACAAACAAACCCTAACAAAGAACTAACAAAGTTAGTAGAAGGAAGGAAAAATGAAGATCAGAGCAAAGATAAATGAAATACAGACTAAAACATACACACACATACACGAAAAGATCAATGAAACCATGGGAAACATAAAATTGATAAACCTTTAGCTAGACTCATCAAGAAAAAGAAAAAAAAGAGAGGACTTAGATAAAATCAGAAACGAAGGAGGAGAAACAATAACCAACATCACAGAAACAGAAATAATTACAACAGAATATTATGAAAAACTATATGCCAACAAATTAGGCAATCTAGAAAAAAAAGGATAAATTCCTAGAAATGCAGAATCTTCCAAAACTACATCAGGAAGAAATAGAAAATTTGAACAGGCCAATTACTAGTAACAAAATTGAAATGGTAATTTGAAAGTCCCAACAAACAAAAGTGCAGGACTAGATGGCTTCACAAGTGAATTCTACCAAACATTTAAAAAATAGTTGGGGCACCTGGATGGCTCGGTCAGTTAAGCATCTGACTTTGGCTCAGGTCATGATCTCACAGTTTATGAGTTTGAGCCCCACATTGGGCTCTGTGCTGACAGCAAGGAGCCTTATTTGGATTCTCTGTCTACCTCTCTCTCTCTTTCTCTCTCTCTCCCAAAAATAAAGATTTTAGGAAAATAAAGAAGAGTTAATGCCCATTCTTCTCAAGTTATTCCAAAAAAATAGAAGAGGAAGGAAAACTTCCAAATTCATTCTACAAGGTCAGCACTACCCTGATGCTAAAATCAAAGACACTACAAATGAAAAAAAAAAAAAAAAAAAAAAAAAAAAAAAAAAAAAAAAAAAAAAGCCAATATCCCTGATGAACATAGATGCAAAAATCTTCAACAAAATATAGCAAAACAAATTCAACAATACATTTAAAGGATCATTCACCATGACCAAGTGGGATTTATTCCAGCAACGCAAGGGGGCTCAGTATTCACAAATCAATCAATATGTTACATCACATTAACAAGAGGAAGGATAAAAACCATATGATTATCTTAATAGATGCAGAAAAAGCATTTGACAAAATACACCATCTGTTCATGACAAAAAAATCTCAACAAAGTAGGTTTAGAGGGAATGTATCTCCACATCATAAAGTTATATATCAATTTTAATGGTGAAAAATTCAAAGGTTTTCCTCTAAGATCAGGAACAAAATAAGTATGTCTGTGCTCACCATTTTTATTCAACATAGTATTAGAAGATTTAGCCACAGAAATCAGATAAGAAAAAGGAATAAAATGCATCCCAATTGGTAAGGAAGAAGTAAAACTGTCACTATTTGCACGTGACATGATACTATGTATAGAAAATCCTAAAGATTCCACCAAAAAATTATTGAAACTAGTAAATGAATTCAGTAAAGTTGCAGAATACAAAATTAATATACATAAATCCATTGTTTCTATACACCAATAACAAAGTGGGAGAAAGACAAATTAAGAAAATAATTCTATTTACAATTGCACCAAAAATAATATTATAGATAGGAATAAATTTAACCAAGGCAGTGAAAAACTTCTTTTCTGAAAATTATTAAGACATTGATGAAAGAAATTGAAAACAACACAAATGGAAAGATATACCATGCTCATGGATTGGAAGAAATAATATTGTTAAAATGTCCATACTACCCGGAGCACGCTAAAGATTCAGTGCAATCCCCATCAAAATACCAATAACATTTTTCACAGAACTACAACAAATAATCCTAAAATTTTATGGAACAAAAGACCTCGAATAGCCAAAGCAATCTTGAGAAAGAAGAACAAAGCTGGAGGTACCACAATCCCAGATTTCAAGACATGTACAAAACTATAGTAATCAAAACAATATAGTACTTTAGGTGCCTTGCTGGCTTGGTTGGAAGAGCATGAAACTCTTGATCTCAGGGTCATGAGTTCAAGCCCCACACTGGGTGTAGAGATTACTAAAACAAATAAATAAACTAAAACAAACAAACAAACACAATATAGTACTGGCACAAAAATAGACACATAGATCAATGGAATAGGATAGAAAGCCCCCAAATAAACTCATGCTTTTATGGTCAATTAATCTATGACAAAGGAGGCAAGAATATACAATGGGGAAAAGACAGTTCTTTTGATAAATGATGCTGGGAAGAAAACTGGACAGCTACATGCAGAACAATGAAACTAAGCCCCTTTCTTATATCATACACAAAAACAAAAGGAAAATAGATTAAAGACCTAAATGTGAGACCTGAAACCATAAAGTTCCTAAGGGAAAACATATGCAATAATCTCTTGGACATTAGCCTTAGCAAAATATTTATGGATATGTCTCTTCAGGGAAGGGAAACAAAAAGAAAAAGAAACAATTGGGAGTACACCAAAATAAAAAGCTTGTTCACAAAGAAAGCCATCAACAAAATGAAAAGACAACCTACTGAATGGAAGAAGATATTTGCAAATAATATATCTGATAATTAATATGCACAATATATAAAGAATTTATACAACTCAACACCAAAAAACAAAACAAAACAAAACAAAAAAAACCTGATTAAAAAGGGGGCAGAGGACCTGAATAGACATTTTTCCTAAGGGGACCTACAGATGGCCAACAGTCACATGAAAAGATGCTCAACATCACTAATCATCAGGAAAATGCAAATTAAAACCACAATGAAGTATCACCTCACACAAGTCAGAATGGCTAGCATCAAAAAGACCAGAAAAAAAAAGACAAGAAATAACAAGTGTCGGCAAGGATGTGGAGAAAAGGGAGCCCTTGTGCAATGTTGATGGGAATGTAAATTGGTGCAGTCACTGGGGAAAACAGTATGGAGGTCCCTGAAAAAATTAAAAATAGAAATACCATACAATTCCATAATTCCACTACTGGGTACTTACCCAAAGAAAACGAAAACACTAATTAAAAAAGATATATGGACTATGTTTACTGCAGCATTATTTACAATAGCCAAGACATGGAAGCAATCCAAGCGCCTATCAATAGATGAATGGATAAAGAAAATGTGATATCTATATATCTTTATTCTTTTTTAATGTTTATTTATTTTGAGAGCGAGAGACAGTGCAAGTGGAGGGGGGCAGAGAGAAAATGCTAAGCAGGCTCCACACTGTCAGCACAGAGCCCAACATGGGGTTCGATCCTGCCAACTGTAAGATCATGACCTAAGCCGAAATCAAGAGTTGGACACCTAACCGACTGAGCCACTGAGGTGCCCCTATATC